GTTTATCCTGTTACCTCATTTCTGCTTTACGCGCACAATCTACTTTCGTTTATAGACTGATCGCCCGTGAATAATTCTTTTGTTAATTTGACAGCGATAGCGAACAGAAGGATTCAAATCGTTCTACTAAGCTCTAAATGAATTATTTACAATGACTCGGGCTTTGACCTTAGCGTTAATAACGGGCGATCAAAAATGAGTTGCTGTCAAGTCGACTTTGGAAGTTCAAGTTAAATACGATTTCCTATGTAGACAAAAGTTCCAAAAGTGACTCGACAGCAACTCATTTTTGATCGCATAGTACTCGATATTTATATGCAGTTTTTTCCCTAATTTACATTATTTACATACGGTGAACGCAATTCTATTTACGCCGCGATTATTACTTGTATTTAATTTCCTTTCTGATTCATGTCGGCCATATTTAAAATCAAACTTCGACTACAATGAACTGAAATAAATTCCTTTTGATGCAATAATCTTATACATCGACATTCGTACTTGGGAGTCATGATTATATTTAGACTTTACATTTTAATTACGTAAAAATGAATTTTAAATATCCTGAACAGAAATACTGTTACAATGCCGCATTTTATATTTTTTGTGTGCAATCTTTATTTTTGAAATTTACTTGGTTTAACCGCAATGTAGAATCACATGTTTGAAACCGTTATCCTTTTGTTTGTAATCGTTTACGTTTTTGGTGTAATTTATGTGTTGATTACTTGGGCTTGTCCGAGAGTCATATAAGTTTTGATCATACTTTTAAACATATGGAAATTATCGAATTGTTTTGATGTGTGTATGCGTACGGACTTGTTGTTTGTAAACTAACATTTTCGCTGTGAACAGACGGTCACAGAGATGGAAAAACTGTAACCAAATGAGTTACGACACTCTAATCTGGGACTGCTCTCGAGCCTCAACTTTAGGCAGGGAAATCCCGAACGAGCGTACATGTTCCAAATCTTGGAGGCGAGATTACGCTAATCAAAAACTCTTCGGGTTAGAATCTATGTGTGATATATGAGTTGCGCTTCAATAACTTCCACATATTTTTGCCGACAAGGCCATGTAATTTTCCATCTTGCTTTTAGCAAAAAGCCTTTATTGCACCAAAAATGAGTCACATCCTCACCCTTCGCCCTTTCTCAGAATTTAGGTACCTGCTTACCTGCCCCATCGTTCCCAAATTTGTTTTTAACCTTGAATGTAACCAATATTGTGTATATGCATTTACTATCTTTGTTAACTACTGCTTAAATTTTTACAAATTTTACAAACTGTTTTGTTAATTAACCTTTGGACTGTATTAATCAAACTGTGAGGTTTTTCTACGTCGTACTCTTTTTACCCTTAGCAGTTACTTTTGCTGGAGTACGACACCTTTTGGCTTTGCTTGCTTTGCTTACAACAAACTTTTCAAAATTTCAGTGTTTCATTTTACGTTCCTTCCCTACTGTGCTTCAGGTCCAAGCGTTGTTTACAACTAACGTAAGGGGGCCTTAGATGTTTTATCACGTGCCAAATTTAAGCGGGATTTTGTTTAGTTTTGGAGGGAATAGTCACTCGGGTGGCCATTTTTAAATGTTGCCGGGTTGATTTTATTTCCCTGTTCTTGTAGTGTGAAGTTAGCGTAGAACCTGGGGGTTAAGTACACCACTATTAATTAAAAGCCTTGACTGGTGCGCACCAAAAAGATGACGAGCAAAGAGTATACAACGTATATACTCTTTGATACGAGTTTCCTTTGACACACGTTCCCGCTCGTGGTGCATCGGTCGCAAGTCGTGATTGGTGTTCCGCAGCCGTTTACACTGTGCGAAGATTCAGTGGCTAGTCAAGCGTCAAACTCGCGCCTTGAGGTTCGCAATCTGTTGTTAACGTATTTTCCTCAAAGTGAAAAACCGCTATTGGCTGCACTTTATTGTCGGTCCGTCCGTCCGTTCGTCACACGTACTCCTTCTACACCACTAAACCGATTTGGGCGATATAGGGCTCATCTGAAAGGGCTTGGTCCAAGGATTCCGTGCATACCGACATTTTTTGGTTTTGCGCAGGCGCACTGTCAAAAATTTGGATTAACGCATGTGCAATGCTAACTTTTTTACCTATGAAGATATTTAAATGAAATGTTATATGTAAACACTAAGAATATAAGCAAAATTAACGACGTTTTCAAAACGTTTTGCGCATGCGCAATGCCAACTTTCTTATTTATGAAAGCAGTTAAATGAAATATCATTTGTGGGCACTTTTAATGAAACTAAAACTAGTACCGGTTTCAAAATTACTGTTTACGCATGCTGTATGTTTTATTTATGAAGAAATTCAATGAAATTTCTAATATGGGGTAAGGATCTCGCGCCTACCTGTATTTTTCTTGGTCCTAGCATTAATATTGAGAGGTTCCACCCTGTATATACAACTTACAACGATACATACATTTTTGAGAGTTGGCAACCATGCAATTTCTAGGTGGGAAAAAGCTACCTGCGCCATCTAAAAAGCAAGAATGGAGGTTACGTTTGGCATCTTGTCTTGAATGGCGGTCGTGAACGCGTCGCTCCATAAATGTTTGTTGTTATTTTGTGTTTTTTTAATGCAGGTAGTAATCTTTACATTTCTTTATATCGTATTTGTGTTTTGTATGCCTCATTTTATAGTTTTTGTGTGTTTCAATCTTTGATTTTGAAATTTACTTGGTTTAACCGCAATGCAGAATCACATATTTGATACCGTTATGCTATTGTTTGTAATTGTTTACGTTTTTGGTGTAATGCTTGCTTAATTTATGTTTAATATTGATTACTTGGTCTTGTTCCTGAAGTAACATTCATATAAGTTTTTATCATTTTGTTTTAATATGTGGAAATTACCGATTCGTTTGATGTATGTACTGACTTGTTGTTTGTAACTAACAATCTTTTCCGTGAATGAAGCAGTCACGGGGGTGGTAAAAACTGTTGTCAAAATTGAGCTACGACACCTAATTCCGTGATTGTCTTCAGCATTCAACTGTAGGCTCGAAACCCCGAAACCAGGAGCGGGTTACCTATCTTGCGGGAGCGGGATTACGCTAATCAAAGCTCTTCAGTTTAGAAGCTGTGTGCGATAAGTGAGTGGCGATTCAATAATTTTAGTTAAATTTCTCGCTTTTAATAAAAGGACTTTGTTGCACCAAAGATGAGTCACATCCTGTGTATTTCACCCTTTCTTAGAATCTTGGCACCTGCTTACCTGACCCATAATTCCCAAAACTTGTTTTTAACCTATTATGTTACCTCTTGAAGTCTACCTGCTACTTTTTGTGATGTTATAGTTTTATGTTTATGTCGTTTACAACTAACGTAAGGCCCTGTTCTGCCTTAGATGTTTGATCACGTGCCACTTTTCAAATTTAAGCGGGATCTTGTTTAGTTTTCGAGGGAATAGTCATTCGGGTGGCCATTTTTAGACGTTGCCGGGTTGACTTTATTTCCGTGTTCTTGTAGTGTGAAGTTAGCGTAGAACCTGGGGGTTAAGTACACTACAATATTATTAGGAGGAAAATGCGCTCTCGTCATTTATGTTTGCATAATGACTTGTTTGTGTATATCTGTGTTTAAGGGAAAATTCAAACAAGTTAAAAAGTAATCGTAAACGATTTACATAAAGCGCATTTCCACTTGCATTCATTTCCCATTTATAAGATGCAACTTCTGATAAAATCGTAAAAATCCGGCCACAAATATGAAAGATAGCGTTGCACATGGGCAATCCATTTTTGACGTGCTACTTCAATTTCAGTTTATGAGAAAAATTTCATTTCAATGCTTTTCTAAATAAGAAAGTTGGAACTGCGCATGCGCAAACCTAAATTTTAAAACTAATGTTAGATTTTCCTTTGTTCCAAGCGCCTAAGTATCAAATTTCACTTAAATGGTGCCATAGATAAAAAAAGTTGGCACTGCGCATGCGCAAAAGAAAATTTTGAGACTGGCGCTCGATGATCCTTTATTCCAAGTGCCTATGTATCAAATTTCGTTTCAATTCTTCCATAAATAAAAAAGTTGGCGCTGCGCATGCGCAAAACCAAATTTTGAAATTGGCGTTTGATTTTCCTTTATTCCAAGTGCCTATGTATCAAATTTCATTCAAATACTTTTATAAGTAAAAAGTTTGCAATTCGGTTTATAAATGGTCGAGATGCGAAAAGGGCACTGTGAATTTTGAATCGATTCGATTCAACTTTGGGCATTGCGTATTATATGGCTAAAGCTATGCCCATATTGAATTTCATGCAATTCAGTTCATAACTAACGGAGATGTAAAAGCGATCGAACTTTTCTAAACAAAGTTACCGTTCACACGGACAGATAGATGGACAGACAGACAAAGGAACAGACGGAGAGACCAACCGGCAGGCGACAGATAGCAATGCAAAATTATAAACGATCTCTAGGGTCGTTAATAAACGGCAAAAGTGTAAAATTATGGAACATGTAAAAAACGGTTTTTTGTTTTTTTTACAATAACTTTTTTGTAAGCGGTACAGAAAAAATTCCTTCCTTGGTACAAGACTCGACACCATAACGAACCAAATAGCGAAAAAAGTAGAACAATAGCTCTTAAGATAAAGAACTAGTAGCATCGCAAAACGAGCGGACGGACGGACGGACGGACAAAGTGGCCACAATAGCGCATTTTTTTTTTATTTTTGTGGAAATGCGCTAAAAATAAAGAGCTCGGATTACAATTGCCCTGCATCAATGCCTGCTTTTTATGGGTCTGAGAACTGTTTACTCTATTTCTTTGGTGCGAACTCCCGTGCGGAGGCGCCCAAGGCCCTTACAGACACCAGAATGATCGTAAAGCGACTCGTGGTCCTTCGGGAGAGAGAAATTTATAAAATCGTACGAGATTTGTTTCGTGCGAAAAAGCTGAAGCACGTTCGTGTTCGGCATAACTGATAAACCACAATTGGCGCAAAATGTATATGGTACAGTAAAAAAAAAGACCTTTGAATTGTTTAATTGTAATAAAGTGCAACAAAATTAGTAAAGAAGAGTTCCACAACCTCGCCATTAACCATTAAAATGTTTGTCAGTTTACAGTGTTAGAGATGGGGGAAATAGGTTTATTATAATCAAGCTTGATAATATCGGAAGCTTTCTCTCCAATCATAACCGCGGGCGCGCTCGTATGGCCGGATGGCACAAACGGGATTATTCCAGAATCGGCGACCCTCAGATTCTTGATTCCATGGACGCGCAGCTTGCGGTCCACCACGGCTCCCCGTTCCGGATCATTTCCGATTGGACATGTCGCGGTGGGATGGTAGAAGTAGCTTGATAGTAAACGAAAGGCGCAGTACCAGTAGTCCTTGGAACCTGTTGCGAAGGTCCTACACTGAGCGTAGTCCCCAAACACTAAACTCGCATTTATATGTCTCATCGCTTTAGTTGCGAGCAACTTTTCCATAATTAGCAATGCCTGATACATGGTCTCGATATCTCTTCCTTCCGGATCGGTCAAATACCTTGGATCGAACTCGGGAAACTCGTAGGGATCCGGTGATCTTAACCTTAAATATCCCACTGATCTTGGATGAAGCACAATTAAATACACATTGAAGGCCCGTTCCGAGTCAACCCTCGGCCACAGCGCGTTGTAGGTTTCATCGGTTATCTGCAAGCTCGTCTGCAAGAAGGGACTGGTGCTGTTCGACGGCTGAAACTCGAACTCAATGTCGGGAAAGCCGGGGCGGTTCTCGAAGGGACTCTGATAGAAACCCACCCCTTGGCTGTTTAACGCGATGGCCAAGGGCCCGCGCCCGCGGAAGTACTGCTCCAAATTCTCTCGTAAGGTTTGCACCGGCTCGCTGACGTTCGTGTTTATGTACAGACCGAAAAATCCGACGTGATCCTGAAAGCGACGCCCAACGTCTAGTTCTTGAAGTAGGGTGATGTTGTGCTTGGTTAGCTCATCGCGCGGGCCGACGCCCGACAGCATCAGTATTTGCGGGGAACTGATGGGCCCTGCTGACAGTACCACCTCTCGTCTCGCACGTACGGTGTATAGCCCCTTGTTTCTCGCGTATTCCACGCCGTGTGCGACTTTGGTGAGGGGGTCAATTAGAAGTTTTGTGACGTAGCTGCGAGTCCATATGTGTAAGTTGCGTCTGGATGAGGCAGGTCGCAGGAATGCTTTGGCCGTACTGTCTCTTCGTCCCTTTATGTTACTTAATTGCGAGTGAAACATGCCCAGCTGTTCTTTCCCGTTATAGTCGGTCGAGGTGAAATTGTAAAGTTCGACATTTGCGTTTAAAAACGCGTTGAGTTGTTTGCTGACGGGGTGGTGGTACTCCACGTTCCAGTAACCGCCCTTTCCATGGTATCCGGGATCTCCGTGGACGTGCGAATTTTCCGATTTGATGAAGTACGGAAGGACGTCTTCGTACCTCCAACCGTCAACTCCCCACCCGTCGTAGTCAAGCTTGTTGCCTCTGCTGTACACCAAGCCGTTTACGGTACTCGTACCCCCCAACACTCTGCCCCTGGGAAACGCGCAGCTCCTGTTGATCATACCTAAACATGCTCCCCTTTGAGCCGTGGTGTTATAATTAAAAGTGACAGGGAGCCTTTGCAGGTATAAGTGATAACCGGGAATGTCCGTAAAATGATCTTCCTCGCCTCCTGCCTCCAGTAAAAGTACCTGCCACTCTGGTACCTCCGAAAGCCTATTCGCGATTACCGCGCCCGCCGATCCCGATCCTATGACAATGAAGTCAAAAGTGCCATTGCCTAAAAATGAAGTGCAGCACTGTGTTTATAAGAAGACCATACTTACATTTAGCCTCCCCTGCATTTTGCGGCCTATAATCGTCTGCACTCTGCGGAACATCATAGTGATAGGCTTCCCGAATATTTTCGTCTATCAAGTTTTCGTAGTACTCGAACTTTTGGGTTCTTCCACCGGCGGACAGTAGTACAATTATGCCCAGTATCTTCATGTTGACATTAATTTTTTACCAAGCACGGATATTATATATATCACATTATCCATTATCAGTGACATGAAGAATGCGGTACACTATCTTTATACTAGTTTTGCTAACGCTAACTAATTGAATGTTAAGTGAACATATAGTTTAAGCTTCTTTTGAATTTTTGCTGATAAATAGCTATTTATGTAACAAGTTGCAAATTGACTGTCTTTGGTTCACTAGACGTGTCAAAATGTGACACTTGTGGCTAAATGACGACTTTTTTATAACTGAAAACGCCAACTAAATTTAAGTACTTATTTGATAACGAAATTACAAAAACTCCTTTTGCGCAAAGTTGCTTCTTCTTCAAAAACGGAATTTCACATCCTTTCGTTTTTCTAGCTTGGTTAAATTCAGATTAATGAGAGTCTATATTCTTCGTATTATTCACTTTTTTTCTATTTTTCTGAATTCAGATTCGTGAGATTCCTTAATTTTTTGAATTCTGTATTTTTCCGATTTTTCATATTCAGGGTGCCTCGTATTATTCGCCTGTCTTGTGTTTATTCCAATTTTTAACATATATAATAAAATATAAATTAAAAATTAAATAATAAACAAATATAACAAAAGGCAATCAAATAATTGACCAATGCAAAGAGGTTCGAGAGTGACCAAAAAGTACTATACACAAATATCAGAACACAAGCAAATATACACCCAATGGATACAGTCCTACCGACAATGAAACATAGCTGTTTCGATTAGCTGTTGCAATATCCCATTGATGCATTATAATTAATGAAGCAATAAAGTGACATATCGCCGTTTTTCGGTGAGTGCTTGGTCGCTGATTTTAATACAGAAACTCAGCGCTTAAAATGAATTGCTTATGTACCTACTACGGTGATTGTCCACGAGATTCTCAGACAACTACTTATGAATTCATTCGCGTAATGGCGCGTCAGACGCGAGAGACTAGGCGTTTGTATTAAATCCAGTCAAGTAACGGTAACTTGCCTCGCTATTAATCCAATTTTTTAAATGAAAAGTTTTTGATTCGCGTAAACTTGCCCCCAAGATTTGTAGCATGAGCCCCCGTTCGGGATTTCTCAGCCACAAGTTGAGACTCGAGAGCAGTTCCAGATTGGAGTGTCGTAACTCATTTGGTTACAATTTTTTCACCTCTGTGACCGTCTCTTCATGGTGAAAAGTTTACAAAGTGCGCACGCATACACACATCAAAACAATTCGATAATTTCCACATGTTTAAAAGTATGATCCAAACTTATATGACTATTACTTCTCGGACAAGACCAAGTAATCAACACATAAACATAAATTAAGCAAACTGTAATGTTCCTAGGGGTCTATCAAGCCGATACTGAAAACATTGACTTACCCTATACTTACCGTTGGCAAGAGACCTTTCAAGTCGAAACGATGGACGTTTCGCGGCACTTTTGAATTTGGCACGAATGAACTCCTACGTTGTGTAATCGGTTCTTTGTATGTGTTGGGACGTGAGACATAATCGGGAAGGGAATTAAATAAAAGACAGAACTTTTGTGCGTAAGAAATGACAAGAACAAATAAATATATTACGCACACCACAAGACCATGCCAGGGAAACATTCTACGGGACTAAAACCCTGGCATAGGCCACACAAATACATGAAATAAATCACCTACAGCAATAAAATGCAAGAGAAAATACACATAAATAAAACATCTCAAATTGTATGATAAAAACCAGATAATCAAATCAAATGCGATTAAACAAGTTCATAAAATCAAAATACACAAAACATCATAATTGCAGTGGAAAACATGAGAAATCAATTCAGTAGAAAAACACATCAAAATACCTGTACGATCAATAGAGATAACACAACTCGTCAAATAAACAAATTGCATGTACATAGGAAACATGTAAATGGTGTGGCTCTACTCCAGCCTTCCGTTAACATAATTTAATTTAACACGAAAAGTACATGTGGGAATGCCAATGGCCAATAGCAAGTATTCATGTGAGAATCGATTATCGCTCAAGCAGAACGTATTTTAAATAGAGGAAATGTTAATGAGAGGGCCCCTACTCGCATTGCTAAGATGCTAAGAACTGCAATCCGCACGAGACGAGTAGGCAACAGATACAGCGAAAGGTCGAACTGTATTAGGTACCACCTGTTGAAGTACGATCATAAAATATTTTATAAATTATAAAGTGTGTTGATGTTAAAAAAAATATATGATGAATATTGAATGACATTTATTAACTTCTTTATTTTTCTATTATTTTGAAGCTCAAGACGTTTTATTAATGTTCTAACATTAATCTTTCAACATTATGTAATTTGTATTTTATATTTAAAAAACTGTGTATTCCCTATTTTGAACTTAGAAGTAAGTTTTGATGTAGTATTCTTTATATGAATTTATAAATATTTTTAATCGAGGGGAGGTGTTGAAGTACGATCATAAAATATTTTATAAATTATAAAGTGTGTTGATGTTAAAAAAAATATATGATGAATATTGAATGACATTTATGAACTTCTTTATTTTTCTATTATTTTGAAGCTCAAGACGTTTTATTAATGTTCTAACATTAATCTTTCAACACCACCTCCACGGAGACAGAATGACCCATTCGCACACACAAACATCGAAACATCAAATTAAAGAGCCCCCCTTCGTGTAGCTAACGCACGAACTGCAGCGCGCCACGAATCGAAAAGCAACTGATACAGCGAACAATCAAACTGTATTAGGTACTTCCCTCACGGAATAGTTACGGATCAATCGAACAGAGCAACAACGCACTGATTATCAACTCCTCGTGAATAACAGAAATAAATACTTAATTAAACAAAACAATGGCATAATCACCTAGTATAACAAATGCGATTCAGATAACGGTACTGAAAACAAAGGCATGGAGTATGCCATGATTCAGATATCGTAGATTATGCAAAATTTAAATAATGTCAAATTGTGGCAAGAAATACAATGTTTGTACAAGAAAGAATAAAATGGTTACTACCTGTAAATACACCTTCAAAACATCAACACCAAAATAATCAAGAATTAAAAAAACCGGGAACGCGTGATGCCTTCCGTCGACCCGAGGCCTACGGTACTTACAGGCCGGAGCGCTCGAAAAGGTCACGTGACCTTAGGAGTCAGTTCGGGACACATCTCTATATATAAAAATGAACCACTGCCAAGGATAAAAAGAGTACGACGAAGAAAAACCTTGCAGTTTGATTAAAACAGTCCAAAAGTTAATTAACAAAATATTTTGTAAAAATTTAAGCAGTAGTTAACAAAGATAGTAAATGCATATACACAATGTTGGTTACACTCAAGGTTTTGGAGACAATGGGTCAGGTAGTAGCAGGTACCAAGATTCTGAGAAAGGGTGAAATACACAGGAATCAGGATGTGACTCATCTTTGGTGCAATAAAGTCCTTTTGTTAAAAGCAAGATGGAAAATTACATGGCCTTGTAGGCAAATTTGACTAAAAACAAGATATGTGGAAATTATTGAATCGCCACTCATTTAACGCACATAGATTCTAAACTGAAGAGCTTTGATTAGCGTAATCTCGCTCCTGCAAGATGGGTAGTCCGCCCCTGGTTTCGGGGTTTCGAACCTACAGTTGGATGTCGAAGGCAATCACGGAATTAGGTGTCATAACACAAATTTGACTACAGTTTTTACCACCCCCGTGACTGCTTCATTCACGGAGAAAATTGTTAGTAACAAACAACAAGTCAGTACATACATCAAACGAATCAGTAATTTCCACATAATAAAATGAACCAAACTTACATGAATGTAACTTCAGGGACAAGACCAAGTAATCAACATCAATAAACATAAATTAAGCAAACATTACACCAAAAATGTAAACAATAGCATAACGGTATCACACATATGATTCTGCATTGCGGTTAAAACAAGTAAATTTCAAAAACAGAGATTCAAACACAACAAATATAAAATGCGGCATACAAAACACAAATACGATATAAAGAAATGCAAAAATTACTACCTGCATTAAATAACAAAATAACAACAAACATTTATGGAGCGAAACGTTCACGACCGCCATTCAAGACAAGATGCCAAACGTAACTCCCGTTCGTGCTTTCTAGGTGGCGCAGGCAGCTTTTTCCCCATCCCCAACTAGAAATTGCATGGTTGCCAACTCTCAAAAATGTATGTATCGTCGCAAGCTGTATATACAGGATGGAACCTTTCAACATCGAAAGAATTATAATGATATCTTTCTTAGAAACAGAAATATGACGGTGGAAATATAGAAAAACACGGATTTACTATCGTCGTTTTATCTTCAAAGACTTTAAACCTTGAAATTAACTATTTCCAGTGTTACTCAAAATTAACAAACACTATAATTTAATTGTCTGTGCCATTGACCAGCTCTCATTGAAATTTCGGGGCTCTATGTTAAACGGATTCGGAGTAAAAAAATAAATAGTGGAGCCGCGCACGGATTTTCCATAAGCTGTAATGTATTATAATGTGTCCCGAACTGACTCCTAGATCACGTGACTTTTTCGAGCGCTCCGGCCTATAAGTATCATTGGCCTCGGTCGACCGACCTCGTCGCCATCTTCTTCATTTTCCCCTAGCTTTGTTACCAAAATTCCCTAGTATTCGGCATCTGCGCAAAACGGTCGATTGGTTATATACAGAGCATATCATATTTTTGTTTCAGATGTAAAGGTGTGTTGCCTAACCATAAGGGTGGATTATCACAAAACATTACACCAAAATCGTAAACGATTACAAACAAAAAGATCAAACATGTGATTCTCCATTGCGGTTAAACCAAGTAAATTTCAAAAACAAAGTTGAAACACAAAAAGTATAAAATGCGGCATACAAACACAAATACGATATAAAGAAATGCAAAAATTACTACCTGCATTAAATAACGCAAAATAACAACAAACGTTTATGGAGCGCGTTCACGACCGCCATTCACGACAAGGTGCCAACCGTAACCAACGTTCGTGTTCTCCAGATGGCGCAAACAGCTTTCCCCACCTAAAGTCCCTAGATTACTATCCCCACCTAAAAGTTGCGTGGTTGCCAACTCTCAAAAATGTGTGCATCGCGTACGTTGTATATACAGAGTGGAACCTCTCAATACCATTGGGCACGTATCACGCGTACGCACTTACTCCTTTCGTCGAGCAAACACCTATTACTCCGATATGATACCCATTCAACCCTTCCGCAAGCTCGGTCGCCCAAAGAACTTTAGATTTTCACGTCTGCGAGTAGGATGTCGCCCGGGACAGTTGCTCCATCCTAAGGGAGGATGCTTTAGATTGAATTGTTAAAGCGCTCTCTTCTTGCGTCGGCAATTACTATATTTAAGGGTAATATTTTTACGGTTTTATTTGTTACCTTGTGCCTCCATTACTGATCCGAGTTTGGTTCGTTATCATTTTACCCTTTGGGAATTGTTACGAATTAGTATATTAACGTACCTAATCGATCTCTATTGAATTAGGGGATTTATTAATTCGGGATTCATACAATTATATGGAATATTATGGGGGAACTTGAATAAGTTTAATGTCATTACCTTCCTAATTGGCACCTTTTCAGCTATATACAGGGAAAATGTAGAATTCAAAGAAACTACGTGGCTCTCAACCCCATGGCGTTACAAATATTATTATACCCTACAAACTAACCGCTGGAAAGTATCTCATACCTTTTTACTTTAAGCACAGACAACCTGTGCTTTAAGATCCCTGGAGCTAGGGTACCTAGCGGTTTATGATGCGGATTTTGAGAAAAGGCGGCTCTATCTGAACTCACGAGAAATGACATGAAGGCTCTGTAATAATCCTAAAAGTTCTCTAAAAGACATGGAAAGTTGTGGAGATGGTCCAAACGACAACATTGGAAAGACACTAAGTATTGGAACACATAATTCGACGCAACTAGGAATTGTTTCTAGATCGTTAAAAAAGTATTTTATTGCTTACTAATCAGTACAAAATCAAAATAACACTAAAAATAGACAGGCGCTTAATGCAAAGGATAAAATACTAGCTCAGTATGGGTGCAGGCAAATAAAATATTCAATTGTGAATCTAAACCTACATTTTCCACCCTTTCGACGTACGCGATGCTAGTATTCGGATCCTTTCGCACCACCGCCAAACCATAAACCCTCATCAGATATTCGTCTCTTTCGGGCGACCTGCCGCCCGTGTTCGCCAACTTCACGTGGCACGTGACGTTTATGTGTATATACTTGATAATGGCACATTTGCCCGAATGGGTGGGTACCTAAAAATCTAAAGTGAGAAAAACTGATCATCGCGCTAAAAGACGCTCTTACCCTTTCCATTCTTTCTTCTTGTTGCGGCGCGTCGGCTCTGAAAACGGACGCCTCGCCGAGCTGCTGATCGCCGGCCATAATTGAAAATTTCATTCCCGTATGTACGGCTCTCGGTTCCAGTCCTAGCCCGTCGGGATGACTGTCGGACCATAAGTAATTGTCGGGGGAGACTAGCGAGTCGGGAGCGAAAGTCAAACGCTTCGCGTAACCCATTCCGATGCTGCACAACCGAAGAGCGCGACCGTCGAATAAGTGGTCCTTTCGGTCATTGGGGCGAACTCTGTAGCAGAAGCCGGGCACAACCCTCGGGTCCACATAGGTACCTGAACAGTAGCGTTTAGCCTTCACTCACCCCTATTTTGAATTTTTACAAAAATTTTACGAAGAATTGACGGGGGAGGGGGATATACAATTTTTGTAAAAATACAAAATGAAAAAAAAACCACACTCACCTACAACTGGAATTTCGTAATGCTCCAGACCTGTCATGGTGTACTTTGTATTTATGTCACCGATCTCGTCACCGCGAACAGTGACCCTTCTATGAATCGTATTCACGCCGGGCGTCAAATAATAGCGATGGTGTTTAATGGTAACGTTACTAATTTTAATGAGTTGGGCTGAGGATTTGTCCTTTGCCTTAACGCAGGTCGCAACACCGAACATCGGCATAGGTTTGGCAACACCGGTCTCGTAAAACTCCACCTTACCAGTGAAGTTAATTTTTGCCTTCTTCTTGATACCCTCAGGCACAACCTCGCTGCTAAGTTCAATCTGAGCGCCCTGAAATAAATAATCAACGTGCAGATTAAACAAAATAAGACAAGAGTAGTTAGCGTACACATTACAACTCACGACGTTGTACTTCTGACACGCTCACAGGAATAGGAGCATCAGTCTTGTTGCCTGAAGATAATGATGGTGTAAATTTGGGCGCAAGAAACAGTACGTCATTAGAAATTTGGGCGAAACCTACCTTTATGCGTAAAATTTCCAAAGTGCCTTGTGCTTCGTGATTAGCATCAAACACAGTAAATTTGTCACCGTCAGAGACCAACTCTAACTCAAAACCGAAACCCTCAGGCCTGTTATCGCTCCAGAAGTAGTTTTCATTGTTGAACCTGCCCTTATCGGACTCGAAGGTGAAGCGTCGGGCGTAGCCTCGACCGATACTCTTCAGGGTGAGCGCCTTCCCATCGAAAAGGTACGGCAGTCCATCGTCCTCCTTGGAGCCGGGTAGCGGTTGCACCTTATACTTGAAACCGGGACAGACGCGCCTGTCGATGTAGACCCCGACGACCGGCTGCTGATGAGGCTTGAGGCCGTGGATACTGTAGCTCGCTGGTAGATCGCCCAGCACCGATGCGTCCAGAGTTTGGGACTTTTCGTGCGGTTCCTCGTAGAGAACCTCTTGAACCGTATCTTGGGCGACGTCATGCTCGACGGTTGCGTCACAGCAGCTTAGGGGAGGAGCCGGCGAAGAACAACGACTCTTGTTCTGCAAACTGACGCTGAACCACCAACAAAAGTGGGTCTCCAATTCTTACCTGATTCAATGGGGAGAAAAGATCTTGGTAGTCGGCGGGTTCCTCAAATAACGACGGGACACGTTTGGATTGCCATGCGCGTTGCATTGCGTCCAATTGAACATCTTCATCAATGGTAATGGCGAACATCTGCAAGAATAGCTAAAGATATCTAGTGTTGCGTTTAGAAATAAATACAATTGATGCAAAATAAATTGGCACTTCTATTTAAAGCACTTTGTGATTGAACTAAATGTGCAAAATTTGGCCAGCTGAACGCATTATCCAGAATTGTGCACTTGGCACTTTTGTAAACAAGCATTCGCAAATTTCGAAGTTCGCGAGATTATTAATAGGAAATTCCTTGGGTCGTAAAACCTTTTTTTATACTCCCAAAGTATGCATTGAACGTTTGCCAGGCGCCATTAAAATGTTAACATTCTAAAGTATTTCCGTTTAAATTCTTAAAACAAGTTGTGGCCGATTTACGTCACGTTTTATCAACACGTGCCCCAGCAGTAATAAACGGTTTTATTACGATGTTGAGATCCCTTAAGCGTAATCAAAAGTGCTGTCCGGTCTGAGATGACGCATGAGCATGTTTGTGTCATTATTTTAGATGCAAGGCATTGGTACATAGTAGTGGTCCGGTGCCAATTTTTAATTCGCACAATTGCAGAAAACAAATGACACTAAAAACTGAAATGCCACGTGCTGAAGATGGTGCCAGAAACTGAAACGTGATGATTCTCCAAATGCCCAACGAGGTACTGCGGCAACAGCAATGACGTCCGTGCATTATTATTGCATGGTATCGCTGGTATCTGGTGGCAAGGGTTGAAAGATTGTGTCACCACGTGAGAAGAAGTGACTACCTTGCTGAGAGAGACCTGCGAACTGTCTTCGCGTCCGACCAGGGGGAGAAGCAAGCCACCAAACTCTTCATCAGTGAGAAGCGAGCCCTCGTCGTCAAGATCCCTGGTGAAGAGAGACCGAATGAGACATTCCAGGTCAGTATGGCGTATCGACTCCTCAACCATTGCGTCCGAAAAGAAGTTCCACGAACGACAGTGACCACCATCAAAGAGCCGACTACCGAAATCAGGAAGAAACAACCCTCCGCCTTCCGCGCGCAAAACAAAAAAAATTGCCGGAAGAAATTGAATGATATGATCGATCAAGGAATCGTTGAGGAGTGCAATTCCCCTTGGGGCGCTTCCGTAATCATGGTGCCCAAATCAGTGCATGTGTGCGTAATGTCGTACAATTACCGGCTGCCGCGCGAATAGACGGACTATTGCGCACGGTCAAAGCGAGTGTCTTGAGCAGGCTGTACCTCCACTACTGGAAAATCCCCAAATCCGTCGCTTCTCCTAGCTAACAATCGCATTGTGTGTGATAATAAATAAAATGAAGATCAATCACGGACTTAAAAAGCAGGGGTGGTTTATGCTGTAAATTGAAAAATAATACAAATTTCCTTCCCTTTTAACGATAAAACAATAAATCCCACCACATTTCCTGAAGTCCGTCGCTTCTCGTACTTAAGGGTGCATTTTGTGTGAGTGATGCACGTAAATAAAATAAAAATCAATCAGGGACTTAATTAGCAAGGGTGGTTTATGCTTTAAATTAATAAATAATACAAATTTCTTCCCCCTTTTACGATAAAACAATAATTCGCACCACATTTCCTGAAGTCCGTCGCTTCTCGTACTTAAGGGAGCATTTTGTGTGAGTGATGCACGTAATTAAATGAAAATCAATCAAGGACTTAATTAGCAAGGGTGGTTTATGCTTTAAATTGAAAAATAATGCAAATTTCCTCCCCTTCTACGATAAAACAATAATTCGGGCCACATTCCCTGAAGTCCGTCGCTTCTCGTACTTTAGGGCGCATTTTTTGTGAGTGATGCACGTAAATAAAATGAAAATCAATCATGCACTTAATTAGCAGGGGTGGTTATGCTTTAAATTGAAAAATAATGCAAATTTCCTCCCCTTCTACGATAAAACAATAATTCGCATTACATTCCCTGAAGTCCGTCGTTTCTCGTACTTAAGGGCGCATTTTGTGTGAGTGATGCACGTAAATAAAATGAAAATCAATATCAGGGACTTAATTAGCAAGGGTGGTTTATGCTTTAAATTAAAAAATAATACAAATTTCTTCCCCCTTTTACGATAAAACAATAATTCGCACCACATTTCCTGAAGTCCGTCGCTTCTCGTACTTTAGGGCGCATTTTTTGTGAGTGATGCACGTAAATAAAATGAAAATCAATCATGGCCTTAATTAGCAGGGGTGGTTATGCTTTAAATTGAAAAATAATGCAAATTTCCTCCCCTTCTACAATAAAACAATAATTCGCATTACATTCCCTGAAGTCCGTCGCTTCTCGTACTTAAGGGCGCATTTTGTGTGAGTGATGCACGTAAATAAAATGAAAATCAATCGTGGACTTAATTAGCAGGGGTGGTTATGCTCTAAATTAAAAAATAATACAAATTTCCTCCCCTTTTACGATAAAACAATAATTCGCACTACATTCCCTGAAGTCCGTCGCTTCTCGTACTTAAGGGCGCATTTTGCGTGAGTGATGCACGGTAATAAAATGAAAATCAATCACGGACTTAATTAGGAGGGGTGGTTTTAGGCTTTAAATTTAAATCCTCGTCTAACTCGAGAGCACAAATCACAAAGGGGCGGCGATCTCAAACCTTCACTAATCGATGGATCAGTGCTATTGATTGATTGAATATAAGCCGGATTGAAAGACCTGTGTAGATATGTCCCCCCGCCCCGAATTTAGGAAACAAGAAATGTCGCAATTGCCCGTTTCCATTTTGATTGGGCGCGGTCAGTTTCAAAATTATCATAAAGCCAAATTTGGGGAGGTCAAATTCATAACTGATCCCCGATTTTCCAAAAAAAAATTTGTTACAAAGCAACCAACTGCGCTTGGATTGCGCATGTGTGCGCCCTGAATACCTTCGTTTGCATTCCCGCCGTTTTCCAGTTCTTTCGTAAAAAAAAATGCCATACCATCCCCCCGTTTTCAAGTTGGACGTATGCGCTTACCAATACCCCTCCCCCCCCCGCTTTCGAGTTATTCCGATTGCAAAATTCCATACTGTTTTCAGAAATTTAAATATATAATATAACTAACAAGTATAAATTGTGCACAACTCTTGTGCAGATAAAGCGCATTTTTTTTAACCTAAATAGCTTTTGTTTTGACATCACCAATGGATATATTTCTTGCAGACGTCTCAATCGCCCTTTGTGAGTACTCTCTTTCGACAATCCGTTCTTGAGGTATAAGGGAATATACCCGATCACGATAAGAGGTCGAGGAGACCTTTCATTAGAGTACCATGAAGGATAAAACTAGTTCCACTCCCCGGCCCCCCTCCCCTCTACCCCGTACTTTGATAAGAGGGCAGAAAGAAGGGCAGTAGTTGGTAGAAGATGGATCCTTTCGTTGAGACCTTTAATTAGAATACAATGAGAGATAACAGTAATTTTTAACCCCCCCCCCCAGGCCCCGTCGCTCCCTGATCTCGAAAAAGAGTCGCACGGGAGTTATAGTTTGTCTTTGTACAAACCAATTTATTTCGATGAGAACTTTCATTAGAATACCATGAAGGTGAAGGTGAAGACAGCGAAATTTGATGGCCGTCTGGCACACCTTCAAGGTATAGGCTACCTTACTGCAAAAAATTCCAGGACTCTAGGACCATTCCCCTAGAATTAGTAGTTCAAAACGGCAGAAGTGGGTCCGGGCGGATGGACAAAACGCAAACAATAGCACATTTTTTTAATTCTTAAAAAATGCGCTAAAAATATAAGGCGTACCAATGATGCGATCAAGGGTGCAATCGAGGATAAACATAACTTAAAAGTTAAAAGTATAATATTATTTCATTTTACTAATCAATGCACGTAGTTTATCCATTCCACTTCAATGACACACAGAATAATAGGATGATTGTATTAATCGATAAAATAAAACCCAAACGATAAGGAATCAAAACAAATACCAAAGTTGCGATAAACAGTTTGCACAAATATGACACAGCGTGAGTAATCTCAAAACCAAATTCCTCAAATAATTCAAAAATTAACAATAGTGTGTCTGAAAACTTAAAAAAACACCCTTTATTTAAGGGCGACAAACTTAATTGATCTCCTACAGTGCGCGAGCGATTACGTAACAAATCAATAATACGGTCTAGCCGAGAAGTCGCTTAAAATGAATGGTAGATACGCTATCTACACGATAACAACCCTGAACTAAAAAATTGTAAACAAATTTCAAGGGGGGCTTCAAATAAATTCCGTTAATTCTAAAGTAATAACCACGCCAACGCAAAGATAGTGAAGATGAAATAGTTGCCCGATGCCCTTTATCTAAATTTAAACTACAAATTAAACAAATTAAATTTAGGAGCAGAAAACGACCTGGGTACCCTCGAATTTCCGACCTTAAATTGTGCCCAAAAATTACCAAAAAAAATAACTTACTTTCTCACAGTAGAATTAAAATGGGTAAATATCTCGAGTTAAACGTTAAACGGTCACGATACAACCAAGACTAACGGTTGCAGAAAGCTAAGGTTATTTTTAAAGTATGGCACTGTGACGTACACTAAACTTGACTGAGCTGAGATAGGTATCACCTTTCCTTTTTCTTCTCTGATCACGCACGTGCAGCGTGCACGACCTACGATACAATCAGTGGATTTCTCATTTGCACTAAATGCAAAAAGGAAAATGCGCAGTTTTTTCAAAAATTTGCGGCTTGTAAAACGCAAAATTTCAACCCCACCAAAAGGTCATTATTTCACCATCATCGACGGTCAGAAATGTTTCACCACCAAAGATGCATAATTATCGATCTTGCACCACGTTGTGAGTGAAAGCAATATATAAACATGCATTTGGTAATTTGGTTTCGAAACCTTTGGAAGATAACTCCTATTTTTATTTCGGATAATTCTCTGATACCCCCAGCAAAGTGTTTATGTAAATAGCTCACTCGTTAATATATACGATATAGCGATAATTTTGAATTTCTGATTCTTCGTCTTACCTGGGATTTTGAAAGCCTTCCTTACAGCGGATTTTTTAGTCATTGGCCGCTTTACGACCGAAGTATATTTTAAAACAGCGTTGCAACCGGAACCGGATAAAGATGGTTTTACGATCGCGAGAAGCAAATGACGGTGGTGTGAAGAGGAGAAAGTTGCCCATGCGATTGTGTCGCTACGGGACTGCATACACTGAAGGCAGAACAACCTTTCACTGCTGGTCATAGAGTTAGGTAAAAGAATAGAGACAACGGGCAACCGTTGGCGAGTTACCATGTACTACATACACAGACGGACGGACAGAAAATCAAAATGACCAAAATTTAATCAGTTAGTGCCTTGACAATCGTGTATCTATTACTGAGAACAAAATTAGAAAATTCTAAACCGTTCACAAGTTATCCTGTACAAGTGTACACAGACGGACGGACGGACGTATAGAGAAAGTCCAAAATCATGAACACTCCTGGTTTCCCTTGCTTTTTCCACCTCTTTACATTCCTATATAGCATATGTGCTCTATATCTTCCTCTTTCTCTCCACAAATTCTACAATCTACATTTACTCTCTTCATCTTTTCTCCACTTCTCCTTTCCCTCGTTCCTTGTTTCCGCATCTAAATCTAAACCACATCCCCTTACAGGCTCCTGGTGCCTCGTGTTTGTCGCGAGCTCTCTATCTTCACTCTCTGATCACTTTATGTAAATTTATCTTCCATTCTTCTCTGATCCTCTCGCATCCATTTCTCTCATCATATATTTTCTTTTATTTTCCCCAATTTCCTTTTGTGTTCATCCTTTGACCCTTTTTCTCGAACCTTAAAGCCCTGCGCCCGGACGCTATCATTCTCTTCTCCATTTTTGTTTCCTTTTTTATATGTAATTGGGTATCGATCTGTTTAGACTCATTTCTTCCACCCCATATTTACATCCTATACACCACCACCCCTCTCGCACCATTGCAGCAACAGGTAGTCTCCTATTCCGAATTCGTTTTTTAATCTCCTCTCCCCTACTCACCACACAATGAGTAAATCATCGCCAATTTCCTGTTCTTAGTTGAACATTTGCCCCAATATTGCGTTGCATCCGGTACCCTAAATATTTCAATTCTCTTACCCCAGACCTCCCGATAATACGATCGATGGCGTGTTAACGTAAACTCTGTAATGAGAGAGGCACGGCAGACGGTTTTTGGGGATAATGTAGCGCCGGGGCGGCTTGAGGGTATGGAATACCCCTCAGTAAAGTATGACCCTTATGGTTAGGCAACACACCTTTACATCTGAAACAAAAATATGATATGCTCTGTATATATAACCAATCGACCGTTCTGCGCAGATGTCTAACACTAGGGGATTTTCGTAACGAAGCTATTATAGGCATATATATAAGAGAAGTATATGGATAAACGAGTGGACACGCCTATCGCCAACGTTAGTGGATGGAAATATACTTCTGTCATTAGTTGGGAACTAGGCGCTAATGCGCGTGCCTGTTATTATGTAGTGTTATTTACCAAGCATTTACTCCAGTTTGACATAACGGATTGAGGTTAAATTGTTTGTTTTGTTTATGAGTTATTGAACTTTTGTTTAATTTTAATAGTAAAGAAGCCTTTCGTAGTTATATAAATCAGTATACGTAAGTGATACACAATAATTGTAAAGGAATACCTAATGTTTGGCAATTTTAGTGTGTTCATTACTTACAAATAAAGAAATGCAGGTACTTGTGGGAAAGTGGATTCTTCGGTTTCATGGCACAAGTAAGTTACAATGCAATTATCTGCAATCAATTCATTTATGCCATACTTGTTATTAGATTCCCAAGTGAAAAAAGCAACAAGAATTG